GGATCAAGTACATGCTGTATATTGGCCCAAGACTAAGTATTAGCGAAGCATTTGAAAAAATAGTCTGTTGTGTTATTTTTGCGGACAAGGTGGAGAGATGTAGGCTAGACAACAGTGCAGGTTTGTGCATTTGGAACAGGTTAAATGTCCCAAACCAAAAAGTGGTTATTAATGGTTTGATATCAACTTGGAAGTCTCCATTAGAGTGCCCAGTGGTTCTGGATTGGTCCTGTGCTATGTAATATTTTTATCAATGTTCTGGATAAAGGCACAGATGGCATATCTCTAATTTGTAGGTAACAAAAAGCTGGGAAGCATTCCTAATATATTGGATGATGGAATCAAGATCCAAGAAGAGCTTGATGTGCTAATAATAATAATAATTATAATATGAACTTTAATACAGATAAGTATAAAGTCTTACACTTGAACTAAGAATATCAATTGCAGAAATCCAAGATGGGGGGGAGATATGTCTAGACAGAAGTTCATCTGAAAAAGATTTTGAGATTTCGGTGTACTGCAAACTGAATATTAGTCAACAATATGCTATAGCAGACAAAAAAGAGGCAGCTAAGTGGCATAGTGGATAGAGTGCTAGGCCTGGAGTCAGGAAGACTCCTCTTCTTGAGTTCAAATGTGACCTCAGATACTTACTAGCTACACGACCCTGGGCAAGTCACTTAACTCTGTTTGCCTTAGTTTCCTCATCTGTAAAATGAGCTGGAGGAAATGAAGGAAATGGCAAACCATTCCAATATCTTTGCCAAGAAAGCCCCAAATGGGGTCACAAAGAGTTGGACACAATTGAAAAAATGACTGAAAAACAAACCAATAGCACTCGTGTTCAGTTCTGGGTGATACATTTCAGGACAGACATTCATAAACTAGGAAGCACTCGGAGCAGAGTGACCAGGATGGTGAAGAGCTTGGAGGTCATGTGCCATAAAGATCAGTTGAATGCTTAGGATATTTAGCCTAGAGAAGAGAAGAGTCAAAGGAACCTTATAGTTGTGGTCAAGTATTTGAAGGGATGTCATATGGAGGAGGAATAAGCCTTGTCCAGCTTAGCCCAGAGGGTAGAACCAGGAGCAGTGGGTAGAAGTTATGGAGAAATAGACCTAAACTGGTTCAGAAAGACTTTGGAACAGAGTAGCCCAGAATTGGAGGGGGGCAGAGAAAGAGAGACAGAGAACACCTACTATGTGCCAGGCAGGGTGCTAAGCACTTTATAAATATTATCTCATCTGATCCTCACAATAACCTTGGAAGGTAGGTGCTGTTATTATTCCCATTTTACAGTCGAGGAAACTGAGGCAAACAGAAGTGGAGTGACTTACCCAAGGTAACACAGCTAGTAAGTATCTGAGGCTGGATTTGAACCCAGGTCTTCATGTCTCCAACCCCAGGGCTCTGTCCATTTTGCCAATGGGCTGGCTGCACTCTGAAGTCACTTCTAACTCTGAGATTCTCTGATTTTGTTTTATTGGATCATCGATTAAGAACTGTATGTATTAGATGACCTTGGTGGTCATCTAATCTAACCCTATTCCCATTTTATAGAGGAAGAAACTGAAACAGGGGGTAGGGAGTGCAGAGTGGGGGTGGGGTGAGGGTCACGTATGTGACTTGCCCAGAGTAGTACAGCTATTAGGTATCTGAGACAGGATTTGAACATAGGCCTTCCTGACCCCATGCCTAGCCTCACCTCTTTTTTTGAGGGGGGGGCTAGGCAATGGGGTTAAGTGATTTGCCCAGGGTCACACAGCTAGTAAGTGCTATGTGTCTGAGACCGAATTTGAACTCATGTCCTCCTGACTCCAGGGTTGGTGCTCTATCCACTGTGCCACCTAGCTGCCCGTCTAGCCCCTTCTTGATCCAAATCTATGCACCACACCATGTTCTTCTATAGCTATCATGTCCCTCACTAAGCCTTTCCTACTCATGGCTAAATATCACCAGTGTCTTCAACAAATTCTCCTTTTGCCTGGCTTCCAGGTCTCTCACTCTGCTGCCTGTCCTCCTCCGAACGCACTTCTGCTGCCCAGTGTACTTCCTAAACCATGGTGCTCGAGACTTCAGGCAGTGCTCCAGATGAGGCCTGGTAACAGGGCAGGTGACAGCAGGGCAGGCCATCAGCTCCCTTGTTGTGGACTCTGGACGCTCAGTTTCTCTATAGGCCCTTTCTTTTTCTGGCTGCTGACTCATCCTGGGTGTAAGACTTGGTGGTGGTAGTGGTGGTGATGATGATGATTGTAATGATAATAAAATGCATATACCACTTAAAGGTTTATACAGAGAGTCCCAAAAGTCTTAGTTCAGTTTTATATCATTAAAGGCTTTAAACTACACTTAAGAATTTTGGGACACCCTGCATACATAGTTTCATTAAAGCCCTATGAGGTAGGCACTATAAGTATTATTATCCCCATTTTACAGATGGGGAAAACCAAAGCTATAAAAGATTAAATTTACTTAATAAATTTAAATTAAATTTAAAAGATTAAATTAAAGCACTTGCCTCTGCTGTTGAATGCAAACTCAAGTCTCTCAACTCCAAGTCCAGCATTCTATTCACTATGCCACACTGATTTTGTTTGTCCTGATTAAGTTTCATCTAATTAGATTCAACTTCTTATTCCAGCCTGTTGAGATCCTTTTGGATCCTGACTTAATGTATGAACTACCTCTCTCAGATCATCTATGCCTTTAACCAGTTCATGGAAATAAACCAATTCCTGGGACATTCCACTAGAGACTTCTTTATAATTCCCCAGACATTTTTTTAATCACCAGATATACAAAAGGCATGTGAGTTTCAAATATAAAAAAGAACTGGTCTCTGCTTTCCAAGAGCTCACATAAAAATGGTGGGGTGGAGGGGTGGGATACAACATGCAAACAAATAATCAAGTAAGTGCATATTTGAGCATCTAGAGGGGAAAGGGAATGGGAAAGGCATCTCTAGGACCTGGCAGCTTAGCTGATCCTTGAAGGAAGACAAAGGTTTTAAAGAGGCAGAGGGGAGGAGGGGGGATTCCAGATACAGGGGAAAGTCACAGAGATGGGAAACAGAATGTCAGTTTCAGGGAATAGAAAATTGTCTGGTTTAGCTGGCCCATAGAGTGCATGTAAAGGAATAATGTAAAATACGTTTAGAAAGCTACAAGAGGAGGGAGCCAGTCTGTACAAAGCTTTAAATTCCAGAATGAGGAGACTGTACTTTTTTGTTTTGGGGGGGAGGCAATCAAGGTTAAGTGACTTGCCCAGGGTCACACAGCTAGTATCAAGTGTCTGAGGTTAGATTTGAACTAAGGTCCTCCTGACTTCAGGGCTGCTTTATCCACTGTGCCACCTAGCTGCCTGGATATTGTACTTTTAATCACAAAGGCTGCTGAAGATTTTCAAGATGACATGGCTATATTAATGCCTGATCTTTGGGGCTAGTTATGCAAAAACCCATTGACCCAAATTTGTCTAACACTATTCTCCTTCCCTTGTAGCACAATTACTTGGGAACTTATCCTTCCTATTAGATTGTATCACTCCTTGAAGGGAGGGACTGGGATTGTTTTTCATCTTCTACCCCCAGCACCTACCTAGCACAATTACCTGCCCATGGTACTTTAATTTGTTTAATTTATTGAAAAAAAATCTGAAAAATTAACTTGCAATGTAAGATTTTTGTTACAGTCCAGTTCAGAAGAAGGAAAATGGATAGCATTTATAGATATATACCTAGTCAACAGTTTCATTTTGCAGGTGGGACAACTGAAGCTCAGAAAAGAGAACTTATTTGCATAGAAAGAACTAAGATAGTGTTTGAATCTATTATTTCTTCCTTCTGCAACAGGTAGGATGTGCCAAGGGCCCCATGAGTGGTGTAGGAAGTGAGTGGAGGGAGAGATCCCTGCAGATGAAAGTAGGGCTAGGAGTCAGGAGACCTGAGTTATAGTTCAAGACTGCCACTAATTCCTTGTGTGGCCTTGAGTATGCCCATTTCCTTCTCTGGGCTTTGGTTTCCCCATGTGGGAAATGAAAAGATTGGACTGTATGTTCTTCCTGCTTCTATCTAGGAGAAGGGAAGGAACTGAAGATGTGATTTACTCAGGGGAGTCACCCACATTTGAGCCTCCAGCCTCTTCTCTCCCAAATTCCCTTGGCAGTTGGGTTCAGGTGAGGCCAGGGATCATGGGGGGGGGTTTGAAGTTACCCCCGACAGGACTCCCTGCGGGCAGCCACAAGTACAGATAGCCTCCCTTTGGGTTTCTGGGATCCCAAGAACAAGGCACCCCCAGGGAGGGGAGAGGAAAGAAAAAGGTAATGGGAGGAAGGGAAAGAAGAGGAAAGTAGGAGGGAAGGTAGGACGAGGGAAGAGAGGACAGGAAGAAAGAAGAAAAGAAGGGTGACAGAACCACAAACATTTAAGCTCCTACCATGTGCTGAGCAATGATAAAGACAAAGTTTAGATAAGATATGATCCCAGCCCTCATCAAGTTCACTGTTCAGGAAGGGAATGAGATATAAAACCTGATAAACTATATTAAATGATAAATTCATTAAAGAAGAGCAATGAATCAAACAACAAATATTTATTAAGTGCTTACTATGTGCCAGGCACTGTGCTAGGCCCTGAGGTTACCAAAACAAAAATTAAATGGTCGCTGCCTTTAATGTATAGGGGAAAATGAAATATTACCTGAGGGATAAGGAAGAAGACTTTTATTGACCTGGGTATCAAGGAAGAGAGGAAGGAAAGAAGGGTAGAAGAAGAAAGAAACAGAGGGAAAGAGAGTAGAGAGGAAGAGGGGGAAGGGAAAAGGGGAAAGGAGGAGAGATGATAAGGGGGCCAAGTGGCTGAAGGAGAGGAAGGGGGGGGTGGAAGATAGGGAAAGGCGGTAAAGGCAGGAAGAGAGGGAGGAAAGAGAAGGTTGAGAGTGGAAGAGGGAAATAGGAGGGACAGAGCGAGGGAAAGAGGGTGGGGGGCAGGGTGCAAACCCCGTGGCAGAAAAGGAAAGCGAAAGCTCCCTGGGACTTTCGCTTTCGTTGCTTCTGCAGAACCTCCGAGCCCCCCAGACAATAGGCCACCCTTCCTGTCCCGTCCATTTTCGGTATCCTGCTCAGTGCCCTGTTCCTTGTTCCCTCTGGATGGCTCGGCCCCTGCTAACGTAACGCAGGGGTGCCAGCGTCTTGCCGGGAGCTGTCCCGGGTGCCACGCTTAGACTCGCTCCCTGGGTGCTTTATCCCGAGGTGCGGTCCGGGGAAGGAAGACAAGTGCAAGGCCATGGCAGAGCCAGGTGGCCCCTTGCGTCTGCGGGACTGGCTGGTGGCTCAAATTGAAAGCGGCCGCTATCCCGGGCTCCGCTGGGAGAACCGAGAGAAGACCATGTTCCGCATCCCCTGGAAGCACGCGGCCAAGCAGGACTACAGGCAGCAGCAGGACGCCGCGCTCTTTCGGGTAAAGCAGCCACGCTAAGCAGCCGCCAGAGGGGAGCCTCGGGAGCCCTGGAGCCAGGACAGCTTGTCCCGCCGTGGGGCCACCCACGTGGGGAGAAGCGGGGCAAGGGCTGCTGGGGAGGCACGTCGGGTTCCATTCTAGTCAATCCAGCCCCCTAGTTAGGCGGCGGACAGGGTGGGACAGGGGCACGGAGAGAGACCTGAGTTCCAGTCTTACTCTGACACTGTGAACTTAAGTCCTGGGTTTCAGTTTCGTCTTCTGTCAAGCGACGAGATGGGACAGCATGATTTCTGGGCTCCCCTCTAGCTCTCGGGTTCTTTGTCTATTGGAGGATCATAGGTTCATAATTTTAGAGGTGGAAGAGACCTTAGAGGCCATATAATCCAATTTGGTCACCCATTTTACATAGGAGGAAATTCAGTCTCAGAGAGATTACCAGGGATCACACAATTATTGAGTGTCGAAGGTGGGATCTTCCCAGTCTTCCAGACTATAAGTACAGACCTCATTTCAGAGACCTGGCTTCTGCTCCCAGGAGGCCTCAGTTGAGGTGGAGAGGCATCATTTACTCAGGAGATGTGGGGTACAGACATGACAGCATGGAAACAAGTCCTATGGTACAGACCTTGAGAGCATTAGGTCCTGAAGTGTAGAAGAGAGATTAATATGCTTTGGAGTTCAAATCCAGCCTCAGACACTAGCTGTGTGGCCATGGGCCAGTCATTTATTCTCTTCCTTTTGTTAAAAAAAAAAATTGTTATTCATTTTCAACTTAAATACCTAAAGACAAAAAAAAAATTTCCATGTACACAGCACAAGATAGAAGATTCAATATAAAACCATGAATTTCCAGTTTACATTGTACTTTTTTGGGGAAAACTATGTTAATAAGTACTATGTATTAAGTTCTAGGTATTGCTTTTTTAAAACTACCCTGCTTTTCTGTGCTTCCTTCTAGTTTTCTTTTGTTCTCTGGTGTGCACTTTTTTTTCCTCCTTCCCTCCCCACCCACCCTAGAGAAGGCTACCATTAAATACAAATATGCAAAACCATACTATGCATGCTTCTATTTATCAGTTCTTTCTCTGGAGGTGGATAGCATCTTCCTTCACAGGTCCTTTTTAGTTGATTTAGGTATTTATAATACTCAAAGTGAGGGGCAGCTAGGTGGCACAGTGGATAGAGCACTGGCCTTGAAATCAGGAGAACCTGAGTTCAAATCCGTCTATGTGACCCTGGGCAAGTCACTTAACCCCAACTGCCAAAAAAATAAAAATAAAAATATAATACTCAAAATGACTTAGACATTCAAAGTTGTTCTTAGAACGATATTGCTGTTACTGTGTACAGTGTTCTCTTGGTTCTGCTCATTTCACTCTGCATTATTTCATACAAATCTTTCCATGTTTTTTTCTAAAATCAACCAGCTCATCATTTCTTATAGCACAGTAGTATTCCATCACAATCATATACCACAATTTGTTTAGCCATTCCTCAATTGACAGGCATGCCCTCAATTTCCAGTTCTTTGCCACCACAAAGAGAGCTGCTATAAATATTTTAAAACATATAAGTTCTTTTCCTTTTTCCCTAATCATTTTGGGAAACAGGCCAAATAATGGTATTGCCAGGTCAAAGAGTATACACAGTTTTGTAATTCTTTGGGCATAGTTCCAGATTGCTCTCCAAAATGGTTAGATCAGTTCACAATTCCACCAACAGTAAGTTAGTGTCCCAATTTTCCCATATCTCCAACATTTGTTGCTTTCCTCTTCTATCATTTTAGCCAATCTGATCGGTGTAAAATGATAACTCAAAGTTGTTTTAATTTGCATTTCTCTAATCAATAATGTTTTAGAGCATTTTTTCCATATTACCATATATAGTTTTGATTACTTCACTGAAAAACTGCCTGTTCATATCCTTTGACTATTTGTCAATTGGGAATGACTCATATTCTTACACATTTAACAAAGTTCTTTATATATCTGAGATATGAGATATGATACCTTTATCTGAGAAACTATCTAAAAATATTCTACCAATTTTCTGCTTTCCTTCTGATCTTGATTACATTGGTTTTATTTGCATAAAAACTTTTTTAAAATTTAATATAATCAAAATTATCCACTTTATGCCTTATAATGATCTCTATCTCTTATTCATAAATTGTTCCCCTATCCATAAGTCTGATAGGTAACATGTTTCACGTTCTTCTAATTTTCTTATGATATCTCCCTTTATATCTAGGTCATGTCTCCATTTTGACCTCGTCTTGATAAATGGTATAAGATATTGGTCTATACCCAATTTTTGCCAGACTGCTTTCTAGCTTTCCCAATAATTTTTACCAAACAATGGATTCTTATCCCAAAAACTTAAATATTTACATTTGGCAAACACAAAGTTACTATAATCATTTACTACTGTGTATTATATGTCTACTTAGCCTCTTTCAAGCCTCAGGTTCCTCAACTATAAAATGGGGGTCTTAATAGAATTGATCTCCCAAGATTGTTGTAAAAATCAAATGAAATAATGTTTGTAAATGCTTAGCACAGTGCCTGGCACATAGTAGGCATTTAAATATTAAATACCTCCTTTCCTCCTTTCCTTCCTGCCTCAGTAATGGATCTTAAGAGAGTTGGAGGGGGAGACCTCAGTAAACATCTCTTCTAATCCATTTGACAGATGAGGAAGCTGAAATGCAGAGAAGTGAAATCACTTGCTCAAGGTCACACAACTATTGAGCAGAAGAGCTGGGGTTTGAACCCATATCTGATGGCAAAGTCAGTGAGGTTTCTACTGCACCAAGCTAGAAGGGACTTTTGAGACTGCCAAGTCCCAACCCCTCATTTTACTAAGGAGGGAAGAAGTCCCAAGATCAGAAGTGACAGTCAAGGGCAGCTAGGTGGTGCAGTGGATAGAGCACTGGCCCTGGAGTCAGGAGGAACTGAGTTCAAATCTGGTCTCAGACCAGATACTTGACACTTACTAGCTGTGTGACCCTGGGCAAGTCACTTAACCTCAATCTCCTGGGGGGGGGGCAGGAAGAAGTGACAGTCAAAGGTTTCCTGGTAAAGGAGCAAAGATTTGAATTGGGCTTTGAAGGATCGGGCAGATTGGGATAGGTATCACATGATAAACAGAAGCAGGATCACAGAATTAGAAGCAGCCTCAGAGGGCATCTAGCCTGACCTCTACAACATCCTGGACAAGTGGTCATCACGCCTCTGCTAGAAGACTCCAGTAAAGGAAGTCTTCACAGGGACACTAAATGATCTCTATTTGAGCTAAGAACTGAGGCTTAGTGTTCTCTCTCTCTTTCTTTCCTTCTTTCTTTTCCTTCCTTTCCCACTTCTTTTCCTTCACTTTTTCCTTCCTTCCCTCCCTCCTTCCTTCCTCTCTCCTTCCTTTCCTCCCTCCTTTCCTCCTTTCTTCCCTCCTTCCTTTCATTCCCTCCTCCCTTCCTTCCCTCCCTCCCTCCTCCTTCCTTCTTTCCTTCCTACCTCCTAGATTTAAATCTATGCCCTGCTACTTATTAGCTGTGTGACCTTGGACAATTCACTTAACCCCTCTGTGCTTCAAATTCCTCATGTGTAAAATGAAGCAGTTTTACAAGATAGTTCATAAGATCCCTTCCAACATGCTAAATATTTATGTGTATATATTACATGACTAAGGCAGTATATGCAAGATGAATTGGAAAGGGAGAGACATAAGATGAAGTGACTGGATAGGAAACTCTTCTAAAAGTCCAGGGAAAAGGGAAAAATACCCTGGTGGAAAGAATGGAAAGGAGGGGATGAATGGGAGAAACAATCTTAAGCTGAAATGGACAGGATTTGGCAACTAATTGGTGGTAGGAAATGAGAAAGAGGAAAGAGTCACAGATAACTGTAGGTTTCTGCTTAGGTGATTGAGTGGTCACTAGAAATGAGGCAGCTTGAAGAAGGAGTTGGTTTCTCAAGTGAAGATCTTTCCCCCAATCAAATTCTTTACCCTATGATCTCCTCCCCCAACATCCTTCATTAGAACTTGCTGGCCAAGGTGCCCTCAATTTGCCTCCCCACATAGGCAGGATCCCCAGAGCTAAGTCCCAGGAGGGTAGAAAGAATTCCACAGGGCTCAGAGGTTTGAGACCTGAGCCTTGTTCTTTTCCCCCAGGCCTGGGCCATTTATAAAGGTAAGTACCAGGAAGGCACAGACAAAGCTGATCCATCTGTCTGGAAGACCCGCCTGAGATGTGCCCTCAACAAGAGCACAGACTTCCAGGAAGTGATTGATCGGAGCCAACTGGACATCTCTGAACCCTACAAGGTCTACCAGATCATCTCTGAAGGAGTCCGAAACCTGGGTATTCACACTTCAAGAGCACGGGTTTGGGGAGCAAGAGATTCAAGTCCTAGTCTTTGGGTCATCAAAGATCCTGAGCCTTGCTTTGGGGAGTTTTAGTTTTAGTGGCTTTGCGGACCACTAGAGGCTGAGGAGAACAGGGCTTTCCCAGGGCTTTGAATTAGAACCTAATGTACTCACTTCCCCTGCAGAGGATGAAGGGCAGAAGGGCCATCTGAGAGCCCCCAAAGATCTATCAACTGAGCCTCTCCAGAGGCCAGACCAGGTCAGTGAACTGACACCCACTCTACCTCTATCTCTGCCCCATCATCCTGACACTCAAGTCTCCTTCACCTTCTTCATCCCTCTGTACTTACCAGCCCTATTCCTTTCAGCCCTACATCCCCATCCTCCTCCTAATGGGACACTGAGAGTTGAGAAACTGCCTTCCTTATAGCCTATTCACATCTGATTTCATTCCCTCCTCCTTTGGGTTGTGAGTTGTATCAGCCAAGAACTAGATGCTGGTGTGTGATTACATGATTGGTGGGTGGGCCCTTCTGTTTAGCAATGACTTCTCCCATCTTCTTTCCTCACTGAGACCCTGTTTCATCATGGAAGGCCAGCTCACTCTGGTGAAACCAGTGGCTGGGCTCTAGTCTCAGTTGCCCCCCAAGCCCTCAGCCCTCATAGGCCCTCTCTCCCACTGCTTAGGCTGGCTCAGACTCAGCTGCTGAAGACACTGGCAAGGAAAGGATTTCCAAGGGCTGCCATCAGGTTTCCCCAACCCCCTGCTTTACCAGCCCAAAGACTGAGTCTGGTAAGGGAGGGGTCTCTATGGAATTGGGTTCTTCCTATCCTCTTCTGCCGGCCTTACCTTTTAACTCTTCCCTCTTTTTCCACTCCCTGTTTTCTTGTTTCCCAGAGGTGTCCTGACCTAAAGGGAGGGAGCTGGTAAGGAAGATGGCCCACCACATTGGGGTATATCAGTACCTTTTCTATCTCCCTCTCCCCCTATCCAGGGTACCAAGTAACAGGCACGTTTTACAGTTGGGACCCTTCACAGAGCCACCTTCCTCTAAACCTGACCTCCCGTGAGAATGTCAGCACCTCTGGTAAGGATCATCAGCCTGGAAGGTTCCTCTGCACAGTCCTTACCCCGCCCCTGTCCTAGTCTCAAGGTTGATCCTGTGCTTTGCTCACCTGTGAGGCAGAGAAGTGTTATCCCCCCATTCACAGAGGATGAAGCAGGCTCAAAGAGATTAAATGATTCACCCATAGCCACCCTGTGGGTGAAAAGGAAGAGTCAGGACCAGAACTCAGGTCTTCCAAGTTCAGGGTCCTCCCTACTACACCTTGATGTCTTTTCTTACTGTAAAAAGGGTGTGGAACTGGGGTGGGAGGTGAGGAGATCTCGCTCTTCTTATACAGAAGGTCAGGTTTGGACCTATGCTTATCACTCACAGACTCAGTCCCTTCCGCTCTCCCCAGCTGTCAGTTCAGAGCCCAAGAAGGCTCAAGGAGAGGCTTTCATTAGGTAGGACTAAATTCCATTCATGCTACTAAATGATCTAGCCAGGAGTTCCCAACCTGGGGTCCATGACCTTTTAAAATATATATATTTTTATAACTGTATTTCAATGTGGTTGGTTTCCTTTATAATCCTGTATTTTATTTTATTTCATATGCCTAAAAGCATTTTTCTGAGGAGTCAAATAGACTTCACTAGATTGCCAAAGGAAGCCATGCTATAAAAAGGATTAAGAACCCCTAGCTTAGGGGCAGGGTGGTGCAGTGGATAGAGCACTGACCCTGGAGTCAGGAGGACCTGAGTTCAAATCCAGCCTCAGACAGTTACTAGCTAGCTGTGTGACCCTGGGCAAGTCACTTAACCCCAATTGCTTCACCAAAACAACAACAATAAGAACCCCTGCCTTAGACACAACCATCCATCCATTCCCATATATGCCCACAGAGACATACACAAGACTTATAAACACACATACCTGTTGTCTGGATATACTGATGCCACAGTTAACACATGTGCTCATCATACATTCAACATGTCCATATATGTGTGTGCATGAACCCACATTCATACTTACTGAGTTGGTACCATACCTAAATTATCCTCCTTCCTCAATGAGTTCAGTGCCTGGTTCACATTTTTTTTTTGAGGCAATCAGGGTTAAGTGACTTGCCCAGGGTCACACAGCTAGTAAGTGTCTGAGGCTGGATTTGCGCTCAGGTCCTCCTGACTCCAGGGTCAGTGCTCTATCCACTGTGCCACCTAGCTGCCCCTAG